GAGGCATGTCCAGGTTGGTGATGTCACCGTTGCCTGGGAGCACCCAATGGGGGCTCTCCTCTCATCCCCGCATAGGTTCCCAGCAAAGTGGTACCTATTTCTCTACTTGCATTTTGATATGCTTTTGAACTGCTTGGTGAGCAGGAGCGGGAACGAGTGGTGGGAGCTCACCTCATCACACAGTATGTGGGTCTCGAACTCGGGCTTGTTCATTGTCAAGCCTGGGTTCTAACCATAGAGCCACCATGCCCCTTTATAGTAATAGCACTAGCCCTTAGACTTATATACCACTTCACAATGCTTTACAGCCTTCTCTAAGCAGTTTACAAAGTCAACCTCTTGCCCCCAACAATCTGGGTCCTCATTTTTATCCACCTTGGAAGGATGGAAGGCTGAGTCAACCTTGATCCGGTCAGAATCGAACTGCCAAATTGCAGGCAGCCGGCAGTCAGCAGAAGTAGCCTGCAGTACTGCACTCTAACCACTGGGCCACCACAGAGTGGTAGGAGCTCTCTTAATCCTAAAGTTCATTGGTTGCAGGAAAAGATCTATAGAACAGACAGACCTACAAGTTTCCTGTTTTGTTTTGTTTTTTTGAAACTGTGATTCTAAAATGGCAAGTGGGGGAAAAACGATGAAATTGTGCCAGTATAAGGAAAGCCTGCAACCACTTTTTAGATTTTTGAAATTTTGAAATTTAAGCATTTAAATTTCTTTGGAGGACTTTGCTTTTCCCAAAGGTGTTTTTTCAACAGGCAACTGGACTTTCTCATTTTTTCTTTGAAGATGTTTCTCTTCCCATCGAAGAAGCTGAAGAGGTTCTTAAAAAAGCACCTTTGGGACTGTTAGGATATGGTTTGAGCCTAACAAGTTGTCCAGGCAATATATGTGTACTGTAACCTTAATCTGTAAATGTATTATGTGACTTTAATGCTGAGTCATGCTGTAATTAGGTAATCACTGGTTGTGAGAGTATTTAAGCAAGGTATTGTAATGTGTTCAGTTGCTGCTATGATACGCTGCCATTGTGTATGAAGATGATGTGATATGCTACCAGAGTATGATATGCTGCCATTGTGAGGAGTTGCTAACATTCTGCTAATCATCGTTGGATGGATCTGTTACCATCGTGGTTTGTGAACCAGAGTGAGTTTGTTATTCTAACCAACTAATGTCTGTTTGGTAAGAAGATATCTGTAACTACTGGACTGATTTAACTGGCAAAGACTTGGAATTTGTTTAGAGAGTATGAGACTGTTTTTTCTACTATAAAGTAAGTTTTTGATAAACCAGTTTGCATATCTCTTATTTATTGCTCTCAGCAACGTTTCCTTGTGCATTTACTCTGCTGGTTGGTAACACAACAACAATATCCTTAACAGGGACAACCATGACCTGGATGGCTGAGAAGGTCCATAGACATTTGACTTTGCTGAGCACATTGTAAGCCGCCCTGAGTCTTCGGAGAAGGGCGGCATATAAATCAAATTAAAAAAAAAACAAAAAACTTTGCTTTGTTCTCTGCTCTTTTTGAATAAGACTTTTATAAGTGGTTATTTCAGGAAGTTTATTGTGCGTGAAAAAAAAAACTTCCAATTTTAACTGAAGTTGTTTAATGAGGAATCAACATCAATCTTAAAACTTCCTGACTGTGTTGGGATATTTTGCTGTTCAATCACAAGAGGGAGTCAAAGACCAGAATATTGCCTGTAAGCCATTCACTTAATAGCATAAATGTCAGTAGTGAAATCTAAAATTTGTTACTACTGGTTCTGTGGATGTGGCTTGGTGGTGGGGGTAATGTGACTGGGTGGGCGAGGCCAATTTTTTTTCTTTTAAAGCCATTTTTTCTACAACCTCTTTGGCGAAGTCGTTGTAAAAAAATGCTTTCAAAAGCTCTGACGATTCCAGCTGAGTTGCCTGATCGGCAGAGGCTTTTTTTCTTTTAAAAGCCTCTGCCAATCAGGCAACTCAGCTTGGATCCTCAGAGGCATTTAAAAGAAAAAAAGCCTCTGCTGATTAGGCAACTCAGCTGGAATCATTAGCTGATGATCCCTTTGACGATCAAAGCTGAGCCACACGATCATCAGAGGCTTTTTTTTTTTTTTACTTTTAAAAGCATTTTTTCGGCCGAAGATGTTGTAGAAAAAATGCTTTTAAAAATTTAAAAAAAACCTCTGATGATTGCGTGGCTCAGCTGGGCAATGGGGGGGCACAGGGATTTTTGCTGCCGGTTCTCCGAACCACCCGCCTTCATCGCTACCGGATCGGTCGATCCAGTCCAAACCGGGAGCATTTCACTCCTGATAAATGTGTAGTGGTGCTATTTGAACACAAGGTGGAGACAATAAGCAAAACATTGCTTGTAAGACGCTAATTTAGCAGAATAAACCTCACCATTCATAGTTTCATGACAAGTTGGTTACTAGAAAAAAAAGTAGGAAAGGGGAATCTGAATCCCTAGAAAGTATTTTGCAGCAATAATCAAATGAAACTCTTCAAGTGATTCAGGGAAGGAAGCAAAAACCGAAGAAAAGATTAATTGGCTCTTAAAGTATCTTCATGAGAGCCAAGGTGGCGCAGTGGTTAGAGTGCAGTACTGCAGCTACTTCAGCTGACTGCTAGCTCAGCAGATCAGCAGATCAAATCTCACCGGCTCAAGGTTGACTCAGCCTTCCATCCTTCCGAGGTGGGTAAAATGAGGACCCAGATTGTTAGGGGGCAATATGCTATTTAGTATACTGTCTTTGATGTAAGCTGCCCAGAGTCCTCGGAGAGTGGGCGGCATAGAAATATGACTAATAAATAAATAAATAAATAAATTAGGAGATTCATCAACTTAATGGAGAAGTAAAACAGATACAGTAAATATAGAGTGGATTATTTATTTATTTATTTATTTGCAGTACATGATAGAGAAGAAAGATTTTGGTATGAAGCTAACCTGGACAATAGGGCCCATTTAGAACTATAGAATAAGGAACTCCAAACATCGTCCCGAATTCTTCCTAAGGAGTCTGGAGAAGATATGATAATCTTTTTTTTAAAAATTTTTTTTTATTTAAAACAATACATCAAAAAAAAAAAGAAATAGTCAAACAAATGATCGCAACAGGAACTTTGCATGATATTTACACTTTCTACGGTATGTAGGCTTCAGTCAGATTTAACATATATTAAACATAATCCTGGTTATACTTGACTTTTTGGGTGTCTGTTGTTCAACCAAACGTACCATTTGTCCCAACATTGGAAATATACGGAGTCCTTTTGATCTCTCAATGCTTTAGTCAGTCTGTCGGCTTCCGCATAATCCAAAATTTTCTCCAAAATCAAATCTTCAGAGAAGATATGATAATCTTTATTTGCCTTTTTTTTTTGTGAGCAAACTGGCACACATTAAAAATGAAATTCTGTTGCCTGCTCTAAAAAGTATACATATACATAACATACGTACTGTGATAATTTCAATAAAAATTATACAGATAATTTTTTTTAAAAAAAGTTAAATGTTGGCAACAGGGTCTTCTGAGCCCAATTCTTAGTTATTTCTGTTCATTTTTTGCAGACATATAGAAACCAATATGAGATAGACAATTAAATCAAGTAAGTACAGCAAAATATTTGAAAGCGACACCACATCTTTCTTTGTACCCATTATGTAAATTATAGAATGACATAATTCTTGGAAAATGATCTCTGTACAAATAATATACAGACACAAGGATTGAACGTAGAGATTTAACATTTTATATCAGTTCATCCTTCCAAAGCATGTCTACACTCCTGAATTATATGTTTTTTTATAGTTGCTCTTTTATAACTTCTGCAAGCAAATAAGTAACTGTGTGTTATATTATTTTATTAGTTTTTACTAAATTTTATAAATTAATATTAATGCAAAAATACCCCTGTAGTGATGCTATTTAACCATAAGAAGGAGCCAAGGCAAAGGTTGGGATTCATCCGGTTCGCACCGGTTCAGAAGAACCGTTTGTTAACTTTCTGAGCAGTTCAGCAAACCAGTTGTTGGACGAAATCTCCTTCCAACAGCCTTTTGTTTTTCCCACTTTACAGAGCTAATCCTGTCAGGAAGGCAGGAAGGAAACATTCTGGTGTGCCTCTGTGTTGTTTCTAGCCTAATCCTTATTTTTATTGCCCTGCTTAAGTGTTTTCAGAAACCGCCTATTAATGGTTCTTGGCAGTATGTCCAGATTCTCTGGAGGTTGGTTTTTTTTGCTAGGGACTTGATTTTTTAAAAACACTACTTGTGGGGGGGTACTTTTTGGGGGGGTACTTCCAAGAGGAAGGATGCAAGCTTGGCACTCTGTCTGATTTTTTTACTGCCCTTTTTGGAGCATGTGATCTTTCATTAAATCTGGATGATTTCCTTAGGATATCTTGTGAGGTGAGGGTTGTGGCTGCCAGTGGCCAACAGAACTGGCAGCAGAGATGGACAGTGAGGAGTTTGGGGAGGAACTTGGGTCAGTCCTGGGGGCTGGGGAAAGCTCGGACGAGGGCTCTGTATCGGAGGCAGAGAGGGGGCCAATGCCATCTAGTTGTTCTTTGCTGCCTCCGGAGTTTTATATTGTTGTATATAAACAAGTATCTTCTATAAATGAATCCTGCTGAATTATTTACTTGTGTGCTGGATGGTTTGCTGCAAACTCTAACAAGTTTTCATTTCAATGCATGTCCAAAAGAACAATTTCTTCAGTTTACTTTCTTTCTTTCTTTCTTTCTTTCTTTCTTTCTTTCTTTCTTTCTTTCTTTCTTTCTTTCTTTCTTTCTTTCTTTCTTTCTTTCTAATAAAGAATCAGCATTTACATTTTAAGGAAGATTCGATTAAAGTCCCAGACATGGCAGAAAAGTAAGGTTATTTTTCTTTTCTTTTTTTTTTTATTGAAAAAGTTTTACAAATACCAATTTTTCCCCATTTCCCCCCCCCAATCCCTCCCTAACCCCCCCAACCCTCCCCTCCTCCCATGACTTCCCCAAGGTGAAATCCGTCCACATTGTATTATAACATACTTTACCACCCCTCTATTCTCCCCCCTGTGCACTTATACATTTCTACATAACAATAAGCTATATTGCCCGTTATTTTTCTTTTTAATCTCCGTATAACTTTATACATTTGGCAGAGTGAAGCACTCATGATACAAGCATTTTAATAATATTATTACTGATTCCCTAATCGGATCCTTTCTCATCCTGAAAATCTGTGGGGAACATGAGTCCCTAACTTGAAAGTTCAGATGGTTTCACTTCCTGGAATGTTCCAGAAGGAGGTTGTGTCCTCTTGCGTCCACACACTTTTACTAGGAAGAGGCAAGAGATGAAAAGAAGGATGGCTGCTTTGCTCAGGAAAAGTGTGATGCAGAGAACAAGGAGGGATAGTAGCTGTGAGCCTGTGGAGAAAAGACAGTGGATTAACAAAACAGAATAGCAGAGTTGGAAGGGACCTTGGAGGTCTTCTAGTCCAGCCCCCTACTCAAGCAGGAGACCCTATTCCCGTGATGATGAACCTATGGCATGTATGGGACATGCCAGTTCTCGCCCCAGCCCAGCTCCACCGTGTATGTGTGCATGCCTCCCGCTGGCCAGCTGATCTTCAGATCTCTGCCGCACATGTGCAGAGGGGAAGGGTGCATGCACAGGGGGTGCAGGGATGGGGCTCTCTACATGGGGCTCCCCTTGAAGAGCACCCGGAGGCTCCAACTGGTCCAGAATGCGGCCGCGCGGGTAATTACGGAAGCTGCATGGCGCTCCCACATAACACCGCTCCTGCGCGAGCTGCACTGGCTCCCAGTGGTCTTCCAGGTGCGCTTCAAGCAGGGGTGAAATGCTCCCGGTTCGGACCGGCTCGGGCGAGTAAGTAGCAATGGCGGCGGGCTGTTCGGAGAACCGGTAGCAAAAATCCCTGCCCCCGCCCCCCATGCCCAGCTGAGCCCCGCGATCATCAGAGCCTTTTTTTCCTTTTAAATGGCTCTGAGCAGCCAAGCTCTGACATCCCAGCTGAGTTGCCTGCTAATCAGGCAACTCAGCTGGGATCGCCAGAGCCATGTAAAAGAAAAAAAGTTTCTTTTTTTCTCCCCCCACCCCCAGCCTCCAGCTTGCTTACCTTAGCTGCTGCACTTGCTGTAATCCCTGCAATCCATTGCATCAGCAAGCAAATGAATCTCCCTGCCTACAATCAAGCTCATCGGTGAGCAGCTCTATCTGCACTTGTGGACTTCAACTCCCAGCAAAGCTGGCTGAGGAATTCTGGGAGTTGAAGTCCACAAGTCTTAAAGTTGCCAAGGTTGGAGACCCCTGTTCTATTGGGTAAGTTTTTTTTCCCCTTTGGGAGCTTTAAAAAAAAATAGTTAATTGGGTTTTTTTTTAGTTGTTCTTTTTTTAGACCTAGCCATTTAAAATTTAGGAAGTTTTAAATTTAGCTGCTTTTATATAAAAATAAAAATAAATAAAAATAAAATAATATTTGTGCAGCTTTCTGAGATTTAGTGTGTTTCTGTAGTGTTTCACTCTAACTACACAAACACACAAAATCTCACAAAGCTGTATGTGGAATTTTGTGTGTGTAAAGTGTGAAAGTTGTTTTTTTGGGCTTTTTGTGGCTGTGTGAGGTTCCTGCTTGTTGCGGGGCCATTTTGAGTCTAGCACAGCTGCTTTTACATTGTGGGTGAGCCAGTTGTGTTGTGTTGTGTTTTGTAGGTTAAAAAAGGGCAAAGAAGTGACATTGACTTGGCCACGCCACACCCAGTCACCTTACCACCAAGCCCCGCCCACTAATTAAGCCTCACCCACAGAACCGGTAGCAAAAAAATTTAGATTTCACCCCTGCATTTATCTATCTATCTATCTATCTATCTATCTATCTATCTATCTATCTATTATCTATCTATCTATCTATCTATCCATCATCCATCATCCATCATTTATCATCTATCATCTATCTATCTATCTATCTATCTATCTATCTATCTATCTATCTATCTATCTATCTATCTATCTATCTATCGATCTATCTATCTATCTATCTATCATCCATCATTCGTCCATCCGTCCATCCATCCATCCATCCATCCATCCATCCATCCATCTATCCATCCATCTATCTATGTATCTATCTATCACCCATCTACCTACTGTTGGAAGAAATATCCAGTTCCACTTCCAAGCCGGGAGAAAGGCACTGGAGACAAAATGGAGGCTGGAGGCTTGTTATAGAGATGGTTTAATGATGAAGCAGAATCACATGGATTCTGGGATTCTGACCACATGGAGTTGAGAGTGGGGCTTTGCACTTGAGCTTCCTGTTCCTGTGCAAGAACATGTATTCTATTGGCTGTTGTCAGACAGGGGTCATGTGTGCCTGAGCTAAGTTTAGTTGAAATTTGCTGGGGGTGATGCAACTGAGATGGTCTACTGAAGGAGCTTATGTTCTGAAAGGATGTGGGGCAATTCCTATTATGGGTTTCTCCTGGTTTGGATCTTGAATGAGGGTTAATCCCACCTTTGTTCAGACCTTGCGGCAGGGAATTTTTGTCTATGAATATAGAGCCACCTAGATACTTGCTTCTTTCAATAAGCTCTTTATCTCTTAAGTGCTGGCATCTACTCAGGGCTATTAAGAAAGGTGGGGGTTGCTTTCTCTCTCTAAAAAAATGTGTTTCTCAGTTTTCCATCCAGGGAAATATAATATTCTGCCTTTTTTAATATTTCTCAAACTATTTCACTCTTCTAGCAGAGGGGTGGGTGCTAACTTTCCACACTACCTACATTGCTATCATCTATTTATGTACTTTTATTATATATTTATGTAAAAGATGTATCATCTTTTATGTACACTGAGAGCATTTGCTCCAAGACAAATTCCTTGTGTGTCCAATCACACTTGGCCAATAAAAAATTCTATTCTATTCTATTCTATTCTATTCTATTCTATTCTATTCTATTCTATTCTATTCTATTCTATTCTATTCTATTCTATTCTATTCTATTCTATTCTATTCTATTCTATTCTATTCTATTCCCTCTACCATCTTCTATCTCTATCTATCTATCATCTATCTATCATCTACCTATCTATCTTTCTATCATCTATCATCTATCTATCTATCTATCTATCTATCTATCTATCTATCTATCTATCTATCTATCTATCATCGATCATCTATCTATCTATCTATCTATCTATCTATCTATCTATCTATCTATTATCTATCTTTCTATCTATCTATCTATCTATCTATCTATCTATCTATCTATCTATCTATCTATCTATCTATCATTTCATCTAAAAAGTCACTTCCTACAACCTTGCAATCCCTTAATTTGGGGTAGAGTCGGGACCACTAATTGAAGCTGAGCATTTACTGGTCGGATGCCCTTCCTGACACCTGTGCAGAGTTCGCAGCAGATATTGTTTCTTTGCGCCCTAGGAGAGAAGTATCTGCCGCTGCCTAGGATTGAACTGTCAACCTTCCAAGTCAGAGGCGAGAGTGTAGTGTCTGGCTGATTTTATATGATCATATTTGATGCTAAAGAGAAAAAAAAATTAGTGTGGAAAGGATCACAAACTTACTTTCAATAGGACCGCCCACACTTCTGTTGTCTTCAAGTTGCATCCTGATTAAGAGCCTAGCGGTTTCGTTGACCAGAGGCTGGGAATCATGCTGGACCTGGCAAAGGAATATGGAGGAGTTCTTGTCTTCGTTGGCCATCATCTCTAGGTTGCTCTTGAGGGAAAAAGTCCCGTCTGGATTCGAGGTCTTCACGCCAAGCTTTCCTTTTCTGGCCTGGGCATCCTTGGAAAACAACTCCACTTTTGCATCCTCTGGATAAAAGCTTTCTGCGTTGCAAGTGACCGTCACTGAGGAGTTCAGCTGGACAGGAGAAGGTGGGTTGATCTCAAGACGGACCTTGGGAGGAACTGAGCAAAGAAAGCCAAAGAGGTCAGTCAGAAGATCTTCAGACTCCTGGTTCCTGCATGCAGAAGATGGTAGAAGACCAACTAATTCTTCTCTCTGATTGTGACGTTGAGGAAACAAGTTCTCTGAACACAGCTCTGGTGTGTAAAATCCAGAACTTGACTTGCAAGAAACCCAAGTATACAAAACCTTTGCCAGACCTATCCTGGATTATTGCTCACCTGCCTGGAAACCTCACTGTATTTCAGACATCAATACATTAGAGAGGGTTCAGAGATATTTTACTAGAAGAGTACCACTTTTCTTACACGCCTTCTTTCTATGACATCTAAAGGATTTTCTGACAGGTAAGCCACAGTCAGTAAGGATGGGATCTCACCATTCCTCTACTCTGATACTAAGCACAGGAGCCTCCCAGAGTTGTGGGCTAAGGCCTTTCCTTTATTCCTTGTACACACATGCCTGCACCGTATTGTATAACACCAATGCAATTATTAAATTTGCAGATGACACAACAGGTGGTGGGGCTCAATAATAAGAACAATGAGTCTGCTTACAGAAAGGAAGTACAAGGGCTGACATTGTGATGTAAAGAAAATAATCTCACACTTAACACCAAAAAAACCCTAAAGAACTTATAATTGACTTCAGGAGGAAGAGAGATGTACATTTACCATTGTACATAAATGGTGAGGAGGTGGAGAGAGTTGGTAGTTTTAAATTTCTGGGCATTTATATCTCGGAGGACCTCTCATGGGCTATGAATGCTAACATGCTTGTGAAGAAGGCACAGAAGAGGCTGTACTCCCTGAGAATGCTCAGGAAGATAAATCTATCTCAGCATCTACTTCTGTCCTACTATCGCAGCACCATTGAGACTGTCCTGACATACGGCATTCTTGCATGGTAAGAGAGCAGCTCTGTAGCGGACAAAAAAGCTCTACAGAGAATCATTAAAACTGCCCAGAATATCATCGGACTCCAGCTACCAGCCCTGGACGACATCTTCGAATCTCGCTGTTTGAGGAAGTTGCATAACCTTCTCAGAGACTCTTCCCATCCTGCTTACTATCTTTTTGGACTGTTGCCTTCTGGCAGAAGATACAGAACAATTAAAACTCGGACCACACGTTTTCTGAATAGTTTTTATCCCAGAGCTATAATTAGTTCAACAATGAACTAAAGGGCCACCATCGGTGAGCTGTTGGACAGTATTACTTGGTCTGTTGTGTGGATGTTTGGGTGGTTTAGGGGTGAGGAATTGTGGTGGGTGGGAGTGTGTTTGGGGATTGTTATGTGTGTTGGACCCGGTCTTTGGGTGTTAAGTGAATTTTGTTGTATGGGTATACAATTGAGTTCAAAGTTTCCCTGGCTAAGCAAGACATTGTTAAATGAGTTTTGCCCCATTTTACAAATGTTCTTGCCGCATTCGTTACGCGAATCACTGTATTTGTTAAACTAGTAACACGGTTGTTAAGTGAATGTGGCTTCTCCCTTGACTTTGCAGGTTACAAAAGGGGGATCACATGACCTTGGGATGCAGCGACCGTCCTAAGTACATGCCAGTTGCCAAATATCTTGGTAGTACCAAGAGCCTTGGTAGTACTAGGGTTTAAGGCACCCTGTTATTAAGCTGCTTAAGACCAGCTGCCTGCAATTACTGCAGGGTTCGAATCTCGCCAAGGCTCAAGATCGACTCAGCCTTCCATCCTTTCTCAGGTAGGTGAAATGAGGACCCAGATTGTGGGGGCAATAAGCTGACTTTGTATAAATATACAAAAGGATGAAGGCTATTGCTTAACGCATTGTAAGCCGCCCTGAGTCTCCGGAGAAGGGCGGCATATAAATCAAATTAAAAAAATATATATATCTGAATTTTAATGACGTGACCTTGAGGATGCTGCCAGGATCATAAGTAGGGAAAATGGTCGCAATTCACTTTTTTTCACTGTTCAAAGTTCCGTTGTAACTTTGGACAGTCACTGAATGAATGGTTGTAAGTTGAGGACTGCCTGTATTTGGCCACCCAACTCAAATAATTGGACTCTGGGCAGTGTGCAAAGTCACTGAGCAAAAATACAAAGGAAAAAAAAAAACAGAGCACACCACTAAAGCAAAGTAAAATAATTCTGGACTAATCAGGCTTAAAAGATATCTTGCCCACTCAACTTGACCCAAGTCCCTGGGGAAAGAGCCAGAGGTGGAAGGTCTTTCTAAAGACCTGCTCCCCATATAACCACAGCCCTGTGAGGTAGGATGGGTTGAGAAAGTGGGGTTGGTCTCAGTTGACTTCCATGGGACAAGAAACTGGGTCTTCCTGGTGCCATTCCCACTGCCATGGAGATGCCTTTTACCAGGTCTAGATTCCTTTGCCTCGTCCCTCTCTGCAACCCAAGGTTCACCTACCTCTTAGGACATCCCCAAGTGTGAAGGTCTGCTGGAGAGGACCACGACCCTCCAACGATCTGTGTTGGATTTGGCAGGTCAGCTGAGACTTCACGTCTCCTCGCTCCAGCAGGATTTCCACCGTGTTCTCCGCTCGGTACGAGATGCTCTGCTTTTCATCAGAATTCACGATGTTGGTCTGGCCACCCGGTATTTTTTTCCCATCTTTCAACCAGCTGACCGTGATCTCTCGGGGGGAGAATCCCCCTGTGGAGCAGCTGAAGGAGGCCTGAGACCCCGGCGTGATTCTTCTTGTGGGGCCAAGAACCACGGGCTGGGATGGCATGGCTGAGGGAGAAAGTAGAGAGACACATCAGTTGATGTTCCTCAGAGACAATACAGAGACAATAAAGATGGTTTGTGCTTGGAAAGGCTCAACTTTGTGTCAGAGTTTGCAACAGCAATCACATCCAGGAAGCACACACAGGTAACTGATTCAGCAGGATTCATTAACTTCTCTTCATATACATAATAACACATAAGTCATATATACAATACCAAAAGCAAGTTTTCCAACGTGGTAAAGAGGAGAGATTGTAAGTAGGTACAAACACAGGCCAGGGCAGCAGAGAACAGTTTCAGTTCCAATTCAGAGCTCAGAGCCAGAGCTAAGCCACGCCCAGGCTCCTTGCTGTTTCAGCTCCCATTGGCTGACCTTGTTACTAAGCCTCATTCATTAGCTGACCTTGTTACCATGTCTCTGCCAGTCACGAATACACTGACACTTTGAACATTGGATTTACTCCCACATGTCTCATGGTTGACTGGGAACATCTCCCTCCATCCCCAGAAATCAAATGGGGGGGCCACCTACCGATCACGGAGACCAGAGTGCCTTTCCCCGAAGCCAGCTCTCTCTCTGGGTTCCCTGCCCTGAACTTCACACAATAGTAGGCCCCGCCATCTTCAGGACGGACGTTTTGGATGTTGATGCTGAAGTCCGTGCTGGATCCTGGGATGACCCTGACCCCTCTGTTGGAAGATCCTTGTTTATCACTGTAAATGGGGGTCTGGTTTCTGTCCAGCCCTTTGTACCACCGCACGCTTCCAGGTATATTGACTCCAGTCAATGTACACCTTAGAGTGAGATTCTCTCCAGCTTTCACCGATATGGTTTCCGGAAGTTGGGTTACCTCTATGTTCTGTCCTGTAACAACTGAAACAAAAAAGAGACACTTTTGTAACTGGGTTTCTTCTAGAAAGTGGTCACCATTCTTCTGGGGAGAAAGGACCATTGATGGTCTCCTTCGGACAGGACAATTATTTGGATTTCCTGAATGCCAACCTTCTGGCTTATGATCTGGCCATCTCTGAATGACCGCCATGCAGAGGGCTAATTTATAAGGTGGGCGAGTTTTGCATTTTATTTGCTTTTATTCAACTTGTATCTTTCTAGGGTGTTTTGATTTTAATTTGATGTGAATTTTAAACCTGTCATCCACATATTCACCCATTGTTCAAGCATTACATTATATCCAAGCGTCCTTGCCCACTGATTTTGGAGTACACTTTTATCCATCTCAGATTATATTGCTTTCCAGTTCTTTGTTTATACTTAAGGGCAGGCCCGCAGGGTGCTTAAATCCAGTCTGCGGGGCCGGCCTGGAAATATCAAAGCACCGGTCCGCTGGTGTCTCTGGCGGCTAAAATAGGCCACGTGCAGCCCAGCCGGACCTCATTTTCACCCTCAATGGCCTCCTGCAGCACTCTGCTGACCGAAAACAGGCTGAAAATAGGCCAAAAATGGGCGACAAATGGGTGAAAAACAAGCCAAAAAATGACCCAAAAATGGGCTCAAAAAACAGTTAAAAATGAGCCTAAAACAGGTGGAAAATGGGTGGATAATGGGTCCGAAAAATGGGTGGAAAATGGGCCCAAAACTGATGGAAAATGACCCCGAAACAGGTAGAAAATGGCCCCAAAAAAGAGCCCAAAAATGGGCCACGTGGCCCATTTTTGATTGGCAGAGTGTTGCAGGAGGCCATAAAGGATGAAAACAAGGTGCAGGGGGGTTGCGTGTGGGCCCCCCGCACCCCATTTTGGCCAGCAGGGTGCTGCAGGAGGCATCCATCCTGGCCCCCCTGCTGGTCCCCCCATGCGAGCCTTCCCTGCGGAGGAAAACTACAATGTTGATCCCGCCCTCGAAGAAATCCCTGCTTAAGGGCATTAAGCCATAAGTAATAGCTGATTGCGAATGAAGGCAATTATATGTGTCCCAGGATAATGTTGCAGGATACAATCTGGGTCAGTCGTCAACCAGCCATCAACACACTCCAACCAACATCTAAAAAAGCCACATACATTATAAATATCACGCACAGAACAGCACACACTGCTAGATAGAAGTTCCCTGAGGATCAGGAGTGGGTTCTAAATTTTTTTACTGCCGGTTCTTTGGGCGTGGCTTATTTTGTGGGCATGGCTTGATGGTCATGTGACAATTCTTTAGGATTTAGCGGAGGTACTGGTCTACCAGGCTTTTAACTGCTTGCAGAGCTGTACCGGTCTACCCATTTGTTTTTGCAGGCACCAGTCTACTCATCTGTTTCTGGAGGCACCGGTCTACTCATGTATTTTTGCAGGCACCGGTCTACTCATTTGTTTGCTTTTAACACTGATCAGCTGTAGGGCGGCCCTTTGAAGCCCCGGCAAGAGTTTAAACAGTTTTTTTCCTTCTAGCCCATCAGCTGGGACTCAGGAGGCAGCAACAGATTGGGGGTGGGGCCAAATAAAAGGTAAGAAAAATGCGGGGGGTGGGGGGGCAGGGGGATGGGGGGCAGAACCAGTTCGGTGACATCATATCATCACCACTACCGGCTCGGCGGAACCGAGCCGAACCTGGAGGAACCCACCACTGCTGAGAATGAGTTCCAGCATGAGTCCGAAAGCTCAGAAGACAAAGCCTCTGATCCTGGTGATCGACCCAGATCGGATCCTGCAATAACTGATTATCTTAGAGCCGTGATGGCAAACCTATGGCACGCATGCCAGAGGTGGCATGCAGCGCCCTCTTTGTGGGCACATGAGCCGTCGCGCCAGTTCAGCTCCACCATGCATGCGCACGTGCCTCCCACCAGCCAGCTGGTCTTCAGGTCTCTGCCACGCATGTGTGGGGGGAGGGGCATGTGCGTGGGGCACGTGCATATGCATGCGTGGGGGATGTGGGGCGTGCGGTGGCCCGCAGGCACATGCGTGGGGAGTTGGGTGCATGCGGGAAGCGTACACGCATGCACAAGGGGCGGGGTTAGCCATCAGTGGCATAGGATTTCCTGTTTGAGCAGGGGGTTGGACTAGAAGACCTCCAAGATCCCTGGGACGAAAGGTTTATTCTTCCAAGCTTTCAGGCTTGGAAGACCATCCTCAAGGGAATTTTTGTCTCTCCAGAATGTGTGCACTGGGATGTTCTACATCAGGGGTGTCAAACTCAAGGCACACGGCCGAATCCTGCCCGCAGGTTGCTTAAAATTCTAGTGAATTTGGTTCCTTATGTTGTAAGTGGGATGTTCCTCCATGCTAGATCTGGTGAATTCAATGAATCGTATATATTTATAGCGTGCCCAGCGTTTGTTTTACTAATACCGTAATGCTAACGTTTCTCATTGCATACATCTTCATTTTTTAGATGCCTTTTTAAAAAATGCCATTGGCATCTATGTTTTGTTGCTTAGATGGATTGAGCAATATTTGTACGCCAAAATTAACCTCGTTTCTTCCTCTTTCCCATGCTGTAATCTTCTCATTGTATAAATAGTTCTCAGTTCTCACCAACTTATTTGGAAGTTAGTCAAATACAGTGATGCACAGAATTCGGTAATTTCAAAAAGTTATAAAGATAATATAAGACAAAAATAGAAATTTGCCCGTGCATTCTGATCGCTCATATCAGGTGCAAGAAATCAGGAACCAGGATAGCATTCAAAAGTTTATTTCATGTTACCTATTCCAGGCGTGTCAAGCTTGATTTCATTGAGGGCCGCATCAGGATTGTGTTAGACCTTGGGGATCGGGTGAGTGTGGCCAGGGTGGGCATGGCCAGCTCCTTCATCACTTGTGTCGGGGGCGCCTGTGGGGGCTGAGTGCTCTGCCAGCGAAAATGGGCTCCCGAGCTCTGTTTTCAGGTGCAACAGTCTCCTGCAACCCTCTGCCAGTGAAAACGGAGCTTAGGTGGGCCCCCGTGGCCCTTGCAAGCTCTAGTTGTGGCTGCAATGGCCTCCTGCAACTCTCTGCCAATGAAACCGGAGCTTTCCCACCCACAAGATTAGCTAAAATGAGCAAAAACCTTTTACCGATGTGTTGGAAATGTAAGGCAATGCCGGGGACTTTTTATCATATGTGGTGGGAATGCCCGAAAGCCAGAGATTTTTGTCACCAGATGAAACAATGGCTGGAAGAGATATTAATGCAAAACATAGAGTTATATTTGCCAGAACTTTTTTTACTGGGTATTACAAAAGACAAATATAACAAGGGAACAATATATCTAATGTTACATATTCTAACAGCAGCAAGATTGGCCTTCGTGCAAAATTGGAAAAATAAAGAGACCCCCCTCAGAAGAAGAGGTATTAAATGATTTGTGCTGAAATGGAGAGGTTGACTCTGGAACTCAAAGATAAAGAGTGAAATGGAGTATTATGAAATATGGAATAAAATGTATCATTGGTTGGAGAGGAGGAGGAATGTTGGGATAAAGGATTATTGATAAGTTGAAAGTTTAGAAATTTCTATGCTAGTATTCTGTGACAAATAGGAATGGAATTGGTATTGATGTAATCTTCACATATGAAAAAATTTATGTGTTTGAATTGTGATAGATTGTACATGCTTATATAGCGAAAAAGAACTCTATTTGTTGTAAGATAAAACTTGATGGAAATGTTCAGATCCGAAAAGTCACACCATGTCCAATGTTTTTAATTGTATCATTAATAAATAAAATTAAATTTATTTATTTACAATAAATAAATTGTAAATTTATTTATTTATAAATACAAGCAATTGTATTTACAAATACAATTGCTACCAACCTGCCTTCCATGGAGGACCTGTATACTGCACGAGTCAAAAAGAGGGCTGTGACAATATCCACAGACCCCTCGCATCCTGGACATAAACTGTTTCAACTCCTACTCTCAAAATGATGCTATAGAGCACTGCACACCAGAACAACTAGACACAAGGACAGTTTTTTCCAAATGCCATCACTCTGTTAAACAACTCTTTCCCACAACACTGTCAAACTATTCACTAAGTTTGCACTACTATTAATCTTCTCATAGTTCCTATCACCCATCTCCTTCCACTTATGATTGTATGACTGTAACCTTGTTGCTGGTATCCTTATGATTTATATCGATATTGTTTCCGGATTGCTTATTTGTACTCCATGACTATCATTAAGTGTTGTACCTTATGATTCTTGAGGAACGTATCTTTTATTTTATGTACACTGAGAGCGTATGCACCAAGACAAATTCCGTGTGTGTCCAATCACACTTGGCCAATAAAAAAAAAATCTATTCTATTTTATTTATTTTTGTTTATTTATTTATTATCGAATTTATAGACCGCCCTTCTCCTGAAGGACTCAGGATGGTGTACAGCCAAAGTAAAATGCATAGATACAAACATTAAAAACAATTTAAAAAGATATATATATGTTTGGCCCCAAAGTTAAAAACAATAACAAAACCTAATTAAAAACATTTTAAAAAGTGTTAAGCCAGCCCAGTTTGCTGAAAAAGAAAGGTCTTCAGGGCATGGCGGAAGGCACCGAATTCTTGAATTCTTCGTATCTCTGGGGGCAGTTGATTCCAGAGGGCAGGTGTCCCCACAGAGAAGGCCGTTCCCCTGGGGGCCACCAGTCTACATTGCTTGACCAATGGCACCCTGAGGAGGCCCTCTCTGTGGGAGCGCACCGGTCGGTGGGAGGCCGTTGGTGGCAGCAGGCGGTCTCGAAGATATCCAGGTCCCATGCCATGGAGCGCTTTAAAGGTGATAACCAACACCTTGAAGCGTACCCGGAAGATCACTGGGAGCCAGTGCAGCTCACGCAGGAGAGATGTTATGTGGGAGCACCATGCAGCGCATTTTAAAATTATTTTATTAATAAAAAATTATTAATAAAATAAAATAAAGAAAACGGAGCTCGGGAGGGCCACACACAGCGCTCCCAAGCTCCATTTTCACTGGCAGAGGCACTGCGGGCCAGTTCTTCGCTGTTTCCAGGGCAGCCCAATGGGCCAGATCTAAGCACCCCGCAGGCTGGATCCAGTTCCCAGGCCTTGAGTTAGACACCCATGACCTATAAAGAAGAATCTGATCTACTGATAGTCAAGACGAATTGGAGCCAGATATGAGTCAACAGACTTCAAAGAGGGCTGGACTTAGATAAAGATAGGTAGATAAGATTGTCACTTTTTACTGTGAGCATACTGGTGCATATTAAAAATGAAATTCTGTTGCCTGGTCTCAAAAGAAAGAATATATCTACCCATACACATACATAACAAACATATATACACGCTTGGTTCCTCCCTTCATAAATTGTTCCATAAAATTTACCAAATTTTAACTCCATAAGAGTTGCAGGTCCCGGATTCTGGATTCATTCTGTAAATTAGTCTAGTCGAGATACCCTGGTTTAAAAACTGTCCGTCTATGGTGCATTCATTATTTATTTATTTATTTATTTATTTATTTATTTATTTATTTATTTATTTATTTATTTATTTATTTGTTTGTTTGTTTGTTTGTTTGTTTGTTTGTTTGTTTGTTTGTTTATTTATTTATTTATTTAGTATACCGCCCTTCTCCAACAGGACTCAGGGCGGTGAACAGCCATGGTAAAACATAACATATAAAATTTAAAAGCAGTTTAAAAACATTAAATAATTTTGGCTATCCATTTAAAACAACCCGGATTAAAACCAATTACAAATTAAAACCGAGGGGATGGGATCAAACAAGCCCGGCTAGGTGAAAAAGATGTGTTTTCAGGGCCTGACGAAAAGTCTGGAGGTCTGGTATCGTGCGTATCTCTGGGGGTAGGTCGTTCCAGAGGGCAGGTGCCCCCACAGAGAAGGCCCTCCCCCTGGGGGTCACCAGCCGACATTGTCTGGCCGACGGCACCCTGAGGAGGTCCTCTCTGTGCGAGCGAACCGGTCGGTGGGAGGCTATTGGCAGCAGAAGGCGGTCTCGTAGATACCCCGGCCCTAAGCCATGGAGCGCTTTAAAGGTGGTCACCAACACCTTGAAGCGCACCCTGAAGACCACAGGAAGCCAGTGCAGCTCGCGCAGGAGAGGTGTCACATGGAAGCACCCCGTCACTCCCATAATCCCCCACGCGGCCGCATTAACTGTTGCTCCCAGTTAATGGTTACACACAGACAAACAGGACAGATTTAGTAATATATAGATATATAGATGTAGATGTGGATAGGTGCAGTTGGGAAAGGTGCAAAACAGCCCACTTCAAAACCAGAATCCCAAATTTTAAAGGAGGGGGATGGTGCAAGGGTGAACTCCTACTGGTTCGGACCGGTTCGGGTGAACCAGTAGTGATGATTGGCGTCGGTTCGCCAAACTGGTAGAAATCATCCCTGGTGGCCCTGGCCCCACCTGCCTGGTCACCCACTCAACAGGCAAACCCGGGGCTGCCTTGCTCGCCTTGCCAGCCACTTCCGTGCACTGCGCTTGGAAGGGGCTGCCACTGCCGCCACTCTCATTACCCTCCCTCCCTGCCTGGCTGCAGATATCCACCTGCCCTCCTGGAGCACCGCGGCGGCGGCGCTGTTTGCTTTCTTCCTTCTCCCGCCGCAAAATGAAAGCGAACAGTGGTGGAGATGCTTCAGGAGGGCAGGCGGACGTATTCGTTATAGTTGTCATCTGCAGACGTCTGCCTGCCCTCCCAAAGCACCACTGTGGCAAAGAAATTGCACTGTGCCTCCTCCTGCAGCCAAGGATGCCCAGCCGTGAGTGTCCTTTCTGAAAATGGGCTGCGCATGGGGCGTTTGGAGAGAGAGAGAGAGAGAGCAAGAGAGCTCTCCAACCTGTTTGTGTGTATGTGTGTGTGTGAGAGAGTGAGGGATGGAGTGATCTGAAGCCGAGGCTCTCAGACTTCTGGCAGTGGCGGGGGCGTCTTCTGAGCAGCCCTGAGTCAGCCAGCTCCACCTGACCTACTCCCTGAGTCTTGCCGTTCTCCTCGCCTTCCCGCGCCCCACTCAAGCAGCAGCAGGCTCTGCGGGACAACAGGGCCTCTCATTTTTCCCACAGCGTGGCATACGCTTGCTACCTCTGCTTGTCTGCTTGCAAGCGGCAATCTTCTCTGCTTCTCTCAGGACACTGGTGCAGGCACCAAGGATGCATCGCTTGTTAGGGCTGAGCAGGGAAGCCACTTTCACACCACTCCCCCTCACTTCCCTGAGCGCAGACCCAAGGCTGTGCACTTCCTCGCTGGTCATCTGGTCATCAGAAGAGCACACCAGGTTTGAAGCAGCCTTCACATTCTTCTTTCACTGGATTCTACTCTAGCTGTAAATCTAAAAATGGATCCTGCCCAATCTCAACTATCAACACTCACCCAGATCCCATGGAAGAAGCAACAATAGCAGCAGCAGCAGCTGAAGAGGACCAGGGATTCTCCTGAAGGACCTCAAGTCAGCCATGCAGATAGCAGCAGGAGAAATATCTCAGGGGACTTTGCGTCTTGCCCAACAGATCTTTCCTACAGCAGAAGGAGCAAAAGAGGAACTCTTATTTCCTCCTTGTAAATTCAGACCATTTCCCTAGTTTGAGTTATTAAGGAAGTGACCAATATCCGCCCAAGGAGGTCCTAGACATTCAGATAGGGAGAGGGGGGGAGTAGAGATAGCTGGGATTTTGTAGTCAAAACAAAATACGTTCTCTTGGGAACCAAGGACGTTCTCACACCTGGTCGGAGGAAGGCGGAGTGATGTCACCAGGCAACCAGACAGCGCTGTGATTGGACCATGTGACTGATTGTTTTGAGAGAGTGACTAACTTTTACTTTTAATTAGGTGAAAACCAGGGGAACCTTTCACCAGAACTGTGCCAATCTCATATATCCATTAAAGCTATTCTTTGAGGAATCTATCTGCCTCGGAGTTTTGTTTGCTATGGGTCTATTACTTGGAACCTGACAATGGTCATGAGTCAAAAACTACCTGTACAATGCACCAGGGGTACAATAGCATTAGCACTTTTTTTGTGCCTGTTCACCGCCCTGAGTCCTTCGGGAGTAGGGCGGTATATAAATTTAATAAAAACAAAACAAAACAAAAAACAAACTTAGGCTTATATACCGCTTCCAAATGCTTCACAGCCCTCTCTAAGCAATTTACAAAGTCAGCATGTTGACCCCAACAATTCAGGTCCTCATTTTACCGACCTCTGAAGGATGGGAGGCTGAGTCAACCTTGAGCTGGTGTGGATCGAACTGCTGGCAGTCGGCAAAATTAGCCTGCAATACTTCATTTTAGCCACTGCGCCACCACAGCTCGGAAGGAAGAAAGGAAGAAAGGGAGAAAGGAAGAAAGGAAGAAAGGGAGAAAGAGAGAAAGGGAGAAAGGGGAGAAAGGAAGAAAGGGAGAAAAGGAGAAAGAAAGAAAGGAAGAAAGGAAGAAAGAAAGGAAGAAAGAAAGGAATAGCAATAGCACTTAGACTTATATACCGCTTCCAAGTGCTTCATAGCCCTCTCTAAGCAGTTTACAGAGTCAGCATATTTCCCCCCAACAATCTGGGTCCTCATTTTACCAACCTCGGAAGGCTGAGTCAACCTTGAGCCAGTGAGGATCGAACTGCTGGCAGTCAGCAGAATTAGCCTGCAATACTTCATTTTAGCCACTGTGCCACCACAGCTCGGAAGGAAGAAAGGAAGAAAGGGAGAAAGGAAGAAAGGAAGAAAGGGAGAAAGAGAGAAAAGGAGAAAGGGAGAAAGGAAGAAAGGGAGAAAAGGAGAAAGAAAGAAAGGAAGAAAGGAAGAAAGAAAGGAAGAAAGAAAGGAATAGCAATAGCACTTAGACTTATATACCGCTTCCAAGTGCTTCACAGCCCTCTCTGAGCAGTTTACAGAGTCAGCATGTTGACCCCAACAATACAGGTCCTCACTTTACTGACCTTGGAAGGCTGAGTCAACCTTGAGCCTGGTGAGATTTGAACTGCCAAATTGTAGGCAGCCAGCAGTCAGGAGAAGTACTGCCTTCTAACCACTGCACCACTGGGAGTGGTAGGAGCTATCTTAGTCCTAAAGTTCATTGGTTGCAGGAAAAGATCTATAGATAGACAGATTCACCCACAAGTTTCCTGTTGTTTTTTGGGTTTTTTTTTTCTTTTTTAAACTGACGGCTTCGTGATTCTAAAATGGCAAGGGTGGGGGGGGGTAGGGAAATGATGAAATGGAGCCAGTATAAGGAAAGCCTGCAACTACCTTTTAGATTTTTGAAATTTTGAACTTTAAGCATTTAAATTTCTTTGGAGGACTTTGACTTTGCTTTTCCCAAAGGTGCTTTTTCAAGAGGCAACTGAACTTTCTGGTTTTTTTTGTGGGGGGGGGGGGGGAAGATGTTTTGTTTCTCCTCCAAGATGCTTCTTCAGCTGAAATCTTCTTGCATAAGAAGCAAAAACTTCCTGGATGAGAAACGAAATGTCTTTAAAGAAAAACAAGGACGTCGAGTTGCCTCTTAAAAAAGCACCTTTGTGTTGTGGCTCCGTTACCTGAGCCTGTGTCATCGGCAGGAGAGGACTCCGAGAGTGAAGGAGAGGAGTTGGCAAGGCCTCCCTCTCCAGGACCCTCCTCTCTGGCAATGCCTTCGGTGTCCGCCAAAGGGCAAGAGATAGGGCCGGGGCCAAGCACGTCCACGCAGCCACAGGTGGACAGTGATGAGGGTAATGAGTCTTGGCTGGATCCACGCCAGCGTCGCAGAGATAAGCGTGCGTAATAGAAGAAAAGGCGTGCCCGAGATTAGCTGAGTCACTGGACCACACCCCACAGGGTATAAAAGGGGGTGAGGTGGCCAGTCAAACCTTGTGAAGAACAAAGCTGAAAGCTTTCACACCATTCTGCATTGCCGGACTTTTGCTGGATTATCTTTGGACTTGATTGACTCCGTAATTATTGAGCTGTTTCTTTTGATGTACCAGGAGTGGGGGAGAAGTTATCTCTCCTCTTCGTAAATAATAAACCCTTGGCAGGCAGCCACTAGATTGTTGCCAAATTCCGTTATCATAAGGAAAAGGATTTTGCGGCTGGTTAGGTCTTTAACTCTTGAACGTCTGTTGGTGTGTGTGCGTGTGGTTGGGGACAGAACACTTTGGGGCAACCGTGACTTGGGTGGCAGAGAATCTCTACAGGCTTTCAGCTATGCAATTTGGGATGAACATCCTTTGAATGATGTGGGAGTAGGAATAAGGATCCAGTTATTTTAAACAATTTTCGTCCTGTCTCCAACCTTCGCTTTATTGCGAAGGTTGTTGAGAGCGGTAGTTGGGGCGCCAGTTGCACCCCTACCTGGACCGAGATGCCCTATGCACGGTCACCCATGCACTCGTCACCTCCCGGATCGACTATTGCAACTCTCTCTACATGGGGGCTGCTCTTGAAAACCACTCGGAGACTTCAGCTGGTGCAGAATGTGGCCGCGCGGGTAGTGATGGGAGTGTCCCAATGCTCCCATGTCACACCCCTCCTGCGTGACCTGCATTGGTTACCGGTTGCCCAACCGGGTGAGGTTCAAGGTGCTGGTGATTACCTATAAAGCCCTACATGGCTTAGGCCCGGGGTATTTAGCGGACCACCTGCAGCCAGCAAAAGCTCCCCATCGCCCCGTGCGCTCACATAGAGAGGACCTACTTGGGATCCCGTCGGCCAAACAATGTCGGCTGACGGCCCCTAGGGAGCGAGCCTTCTCTGTGGGTGCACCTACCCTCTGGAATCAGCTCCCCTTGGAGCTCCGGGTAGCCCCCGACCTTCGCTCCTTCCGTCGTGACCTTAAAACATGGCTGTTTCGCCAAGCTGGCCTGGACTGAATGGGGTTTTAATGGGAATTTTAGTTTTTATTGTTGAATTTTAACTTGCTGTTGATCTGTCCCCGTACCCACACACACACAAACACAGCCAGTCAAGGGTTAAGGAAACACTTTGGAACGCACCCAGGTCTTATCTCCCACTTGGCAGCGATAGACACACCGTCTGCCAAGTGACTTTATTTTCAAAGTAAAACAGAAAGATAAATACTCAAGAGTCCAAATGTCCGACACTTTAAATCTTTCTCTCAGCAGTTCCGGACGAGGCTTTAGTGACTATTCAAGGTTTGCTTTGTTCGTCACAAGGATCCTTGACCACCACCCTCTATTATATAGTCTCTGGGATGTGGTCCAGTGACTCAGTTCTAATCCCTAGCATGCCTCCTAAGCTGCTGCAAATGTTTATCACGCCTTCAGAGGCGTGCGTCCAGGAATGATGTGTTTTCATCACTCTGATCCGAATCAGCTGTCTCCTCTCCCTCGGCCGGCACTTGAGACAATGCCAGAGGGGAGGGGCCTGGAGAGGGAGGCCTGGCTGACTCCTCTTCCTCATGCTTGGAGCTTTCTTCCTCTGATGGGACAGGCTCAGAGGGCGGGGCCACAACAGCTGTTGTTTATTGCTGATAGCTGCCCTGAGTCCTTGTGGAGAAAGGGCGGCATGTAAGTCCGATAATAAATAAATGAATAAATAAATAAATAAATAAATAAATAAATAAATAAATAAACAAACAAACAAATAAACAAATAAATAAATTGCACATTACAGGAACCAGGTGCATTACTCAGGTGACCCTGAAGACACAGATAAATCTCCAGGTGGCCTCAACATCTCTCTCAAAGGATGCAAATGTGCAGCTGTCTGCAAGGAATATAAATCCTTCCATTCCCCACCACCCAGTCGGAGATGAAGAAGCTTCTTGGATGAGAAACGAAAGATCTTCAAAGAAAAACCAGAAAGTCCATTTGCCTCTTGAAATAAAGCACCTTTGGGACAAGCATGACTTGGATGACGGAGAATCTCCATAGACGTTTGACTTTGCCTTGTTCTCTGCTCTTTTTGTATAAGACCCTTATAAGCAGTGATGTGATTCAAGTAATTTAACAACTGGTTCTCCCTAATGTCCAGCTGGGGAGGCCTGGCTGGGGAGGTGTCACGTGACTGAGTGGGCATAGCCAAACTTGGTTTTGCAGACCAGGATACATAGTTTGTTCCATCCAGCCGGGTTATCATGGAAAAATTTGCTGCTTGTTCTAGTGCCATCTTCACTTGGATTGTATATCACAAACACAGTTTGTACTATTCACATTAACTCTCAGTTTAACTCTTAACAATCCTTGTTAGTTATGGCTGGCTCTGGGCCCATAACCAATGTTAAGGATATTGGTGTTGTGTTACCAACCAGCAGAGTAAATGCACAAGGAAACGTTGCTGAGAGCAATGAATAAGAGATATGCAAACTGGTTTATCAAAAGCTTACTTTATAGTAGAAAAAACAGTCTCATAGTCTTTAAACAAATTCCAAGTCTTTGCCATATAAATCAGTCCAGTAGTTACAGAATCTTCTAACCACACAAACATTAGTTGGTTAGAATAACAAACTCACTCTGGTTCACAAACCACGATGGTTACAGATCCATCCAACGATGATTAGCAGAATGTTAGCAACTCCTCACAATGGCAGCATATCATACTCTGGTAGCATATCACAACAGCTTCATACACAATGGCAGCGTATCATAGCAGCAACTGAACACGTTACAATACCTTGCTTAAATACTCTCACAACCAGTCATTACCTAATTACAGCATGACTCAGCATTAAAACCTTAAAGTTACACAATAGATATTTATTTATTTATTTATTTATTTATTTATTTATTTATTTATTTATTTATTTATTTATTTATTTATTTTATCATATTTGTATACCGCCCTACTCCCGAAGGACTCAGGGCGGTGAACAGCCAAAATAAAATACAAAGACATACAAAAGTTAAAAAACTATTAAAAACAGATTAAATAATTTAGGCTCAAAAAACAAATTAAAACATCCAATTTATCTAAAAATCATTTAAAACCCAATTTAAAAACCAATTTAAAAGGGAGAGTTAGGCCAGACCAGCCTGTTGGAATAAAAACGTTTTTAGGGCGCGGCGGAAGATGCGTAAGTCTTGGATCCTCCGTATCTCCGGGGGGAGCTCGTTCCAGATGGCAGGTGCCCCCACAGAGAAGGCTCTCCCCCTGGGGGCCACCAGTCGACATTGTTTGGCCGACGGCACCCTGAGGAGCCCCTCTCATATTAAGATATTCATATTAAAGTCACAGAACACATATATTGCCTGGACAACTTGTTAGGCTCAAACCATATCCTAACAGATATCACTCACAGCAAGGTGGGGCAGCCCAGGCAGCAGAAGAGGTGGTGGCGATGGCCGGAAACTTAGTGCGTAAGAGAAACGCTGTACTTGCCTTCGTGCAGCAACAGTGTTCCGCCTTCATTGCGGTACATTTGTGCTCAAGGCAGCCTTTGTCGCCCGCTGCTTTGAGCTTTGAGCGGTGGCATGGGTCAGGTCAGCAGGAGGCCATGTGGTGGCAGTGGCGAACGTGGCAGGCCAGTGTCTCAGGGTGGAGAGCCGGTCACGTATCTCCCCAAGCGACCGAGGCAGGCCCTGCAGCACCAACAACGGCAGGAAGTAACTGCCTGTTGTGGCCCCGCCCTCTGAGCCTGTCCCATCGGAGGAAGAAAGCTCCGAGAATGAGGAAGAGGAGTCAGCCAGGTCTCCCTCTCCAGGCCCCTCCCCTCTGGCACTGTCTCAGGTGCCGGCCGAGGGAGAGGAGATTAGCAGGGAGACAGGTGTCTCGGATGAGAGTGACGGAGAAACATCATTCCTGGACGCACGCCTCCGAAGGCGTGATAAACGATTGCAGCAGCTCAGGAGGCGTGCTAGGGATTAGAACTGAGTCACTGGACCACACCCCAGAGACTATATAATAGAGGGTGGTGGCCAGTGATCCTTGTGACGAACAAAACTAACCTTGGATAGTCACTAAAGCCTCGTTCGGAACTGCTGGGAGGAATATTTATTGTTGTTGGACGTTTGGAAGCTGAGTATATTATCTTTCTGTTTTCTGTGGAAATAAAAGCATTTGGCAGACGGCGTGTATATCACTGCCAAGTTGGAGATAAAGAGCTGGGTGTGTTCCAAGTGCTTCCTTAACCCTCGGCTGGCTGTGTGTGTGTGTGTGTGTGTGGACAGGGACAGATCACTGCCTGCCGTTTTCTGCTGCATACATCTTGTAAAAAACCTGACGGTCGGACAGCGAAATGCAGCAAGAGATGAGGCACTGGAGAATCAGACACGCTGCTTCTCTCCGACACAGTATTTCCCAGACGCGGCTTACAGCTCCAAGCCCAAAGCGGTCCTGCACTAAGGCTCTGGCTATCGCCACCGCTGCTTTGGCTGCCTGCACCACCCCACTTTGCCACAACAGCGCCATGTCCTTGACAGTCGGCTTTCGGGGGGGTGGGGGTGGTAAAATCCATCCATTGTACATGTGATGGCCGATCCCCGGAATCCCTGTTCCATATTACATTCGTATGTCCCCACTACCAGGATATAAGATCAAGACTCATTTCTCCTATTTCCCAGAGATTCCCTGGTTCACCAGATATGTTCAGCCTTTATTTCCTACTCCAGGACACAGACCCCAATATAACTCTAAAGGTGGCAAAAAAATTTGCTGCAGTCGTGGCTGGAAAAAAACGGGAAAAGAGACGGGTAAGCCCGACGGCAGAGGATCACTAGTATTGACAGTACAGATTGTATTTGAGGCAGTAGATGGTGTACTGTCCCATGATCTATCCATAATTGTAAAATATGCTCCCTTTCTTTGTCTATTTTAATTTGGTCTTTGACCACAATAAAAGCTTACTACTTACTACTAATTACTACTACACAACAGCGCCATTACCTCGCTCCAGCCAGTGAGGGCTGTGCTACTCCTTGCACCATTTCTTGTACCAATCCTCTATGGTGGAGATTTCCAGCCACACCCGGAGCGAGTCTCCCTCTCCTGCCGTTGCCCTTACCTTCTCAGGCCAGGCGAGGAGTGAATGGGAGAGGACAGTCAAGCGGCAGGACCAGCCGGTTCACTGAACTGCACAAAAAGTTAACAAACGGTTCACCTGAACCGGTGTGAACCGGCTGAATCCCACCACTGCTTATAAGTGGTTATTTCAGAAAGTTTATTGTGGGATTTTTTTAAAAAAACCTTCCCATTTTAACTGAAGTTGTTTAATCAGGAATCAACATCAGTCTTAAAACTTCCTGACTATGTGGGGATATTTTGATGTTTAAGCACAAGAGGGAGTTAAAAACCAGAATATTGCTTGTAATAGAAGAAAAATGTAATGAGGCTATTTAAACACAAGAGGAAGAAAAAGAGCAAGCTACTAATTTAGCAGAATAAGCCTCACAAACAATTCATAGTTTCATGAGCCTTCTGTAAGCAAACGCTTTTTATTTTTCTTTCTTTCCTAAACATTTCAATGCATGTCCAAAAGAACAATTTCTTCAGTTCTTTCTTTCTTTCTCTCTCTCTCTCTCTCTTTCTTTCCTTTCTTTCTTTCTTTCTTTCTTTCTTTCTTTCTTTCTTTCTTTTTCTTTCTTTCTTATAAAGAATCAGCATTTACATTTCAAGGAAAATTCGATTAAGTCCCAGACATGGCAAAACAAAGAAAGGTTATTTTTATTTTTAATCTCCGTATTGATTTCACAGCCTTATATAACTTTATACATTTGGGAGAGCAAAGCACTCATGATACAAGCATTTTAATAATATTATTATTGATTCCCTAATCGGATCCTTTCTCATCCTGAAAATCTGTGCGGAACAGGAGTCCCTAACTTGAAGTTCCAGACTGTCTCACTTCCTGGGATGTAATTGAACGAGATTTTGTCCTCTTGCGTCCAAACACTTTGGTTAGGAAAAGGCAAGAGATGAAAAGAAGGATGGCTACTCGGCTCAGGAAAAGCGCGATGCAGAGAAAAATGATGGATTGTTCCTGGGAGTCTGTGGAGAAAAGACAGCGGATTAACAAAATAGAATAAAGGAGTTGGAAGGGACCTTGGAGGTCATCTAGTCCAACCCACTGCTCAAGCAGGAGACCCTATACCATTGCGGACAAATAGTTGGCCAGTCTCTTCTTAAAAACCTCCAGTGATGGAGCACCCACAACTTCTGGTGGCAAGCTGTTCCACGGGTTAATTGTCCTCACTGTTAGGAAGGTTCTCCTTAATTCTTCTTGTCTTGCCTTCTGGTGCTTTGGAAAGGACCCCTCTTCTTTGTGGCAGCCCCTCAATATTGGAACACTGCGATCGTGTCACCCTTAGTCCTTCTATTCCAGGGGTGTCAAACTCGATTTCATTGAGGGCCGCATTAGGGTTGTGTTTGACTTCGGGGGCCCGGTGTGGGCATGGCAAGGTGGGCATGGCCAGCTCGACCTCACTCATGTTGGGGGCGCCTGTGGAGGCCCGAGCGCTCTGCCAGTGAAAACAGGCTCCCGAGCTCCATTTTCAGCTGAGACAGGCTCCTGCAACCCTCTGCCAGCAAAAATGGAGCCCAGGAAGGCAGCACGCAGTCCTCCTCCTGGCCCCCTTGGGCCAGATCTAAGCACCCTACAGAGCAGATGGGGCCCACGGGCCCTGAGTTTGATACCCCTGTTCAGAGGTGGTATTCAGCAGGTTCTGACCAGTTCTGGAGAGCCGGTAGCGGAATTTTTGAGTAGTTTGGAGAACTAGTAGATACCACCTCTGACTGGCCCCGCCCCCATCTATCTTCTGCCTCCCGAGTCCCAGCTGATCGAGAGGAAATGGGGATTTTGCAGTAATCTTCCCCTGGAGTGGGGTGGGAATGGAGATTTTACAGTATCCTTCCCCTGCAACGCCCACCAAGCCACACCCACAGAACTGGTAGTAAAAAAATTTGAAACCTACCACTGCCCCTGTTCTAGTCACTAGACTTACCCAATTCCTGCATATATATATACACATACACATATACATATACATACATATACATATACATATACATATACATATACATATACATATACATATACATATACATATACATATACATACACATACACATACACATACACATACATATACATATACATATACATATACATATACATATATATTTGTTTTCTGAGGTTTTCGCGGGTGTTTGTATGTAGGTCTTTGGTTATTCGGGTTTTCTCCCGCGTAAAATTGGAAGTGTCTTGGCGATGTTTTGATGAAGTCTCATTCGTCATGTGACGAAGTCTCATTCATCATCTTCAGGCTGGTGTTTTCGGCTTCGTGCTTCTAGGAGCAATTTGCACCAGCCTGAAGATGACGAATGAGACTTCGTCAAAATGTCGCCAAGACACTTCCAATTTTACGTGGGAGAAAACCCAAATAACCAAATATATATATATATTTTATCATAGGTTTTTGTATGTATTTTTCTTCAACTGGGTATTTTCCTACGTAAACCAAGTTTCTCAAATTGCAGCCATAGCTCAGTGAAATCACATCCACATAGGCAGCAAAATGCATGCTTGCTGTCTGAAGAAGCCTAGGATAGTGGATGTGATTTCACTACTCCATTCTCTCTTCCCCTTCTCTCTCTTTCTTTAATTTTACTTTTATTTTATACTTTGATAATTTCAATAAAAATTATACAGATTTTTTTTTTTTAAAAAAATGAAATGATGGCAGCAGGACCACTGGTCCCAGTTCTTAGTTATGTAGAAAGTTAGCACCCCACCCCTTCTAGAAGGATGAAATATTTTGAGACATATTTAAAAATATTATATTCCCTCTATGGCTTAGGACCTGGTTACCTACTGGACCGCCTGCTACCACCAATAGCCTCCCACCGGCCGGTACGCTCTCATAGAGAGGGGCTCCTCTGGGTGCCGACAGCCAAACAATGTCGACTGGCGGCCCCTTCTCTGTGGGGGCACCTACGATCTGGAATGAGCTCCCCCGGAGATACGGAGGATCCCGGATCTACGCACCTTCCGTCGCGCGCTTAAGACTTTTTTATTTCATCAAGCTGGCCTGGCCTAAATCTTCTCCCCTTTTTAAATGTAAATTTTAATTTGTTTTTAAATTATGGGGTATTTTAAATTCAGCCAAATTATTTAATTCGTTTTTAACTTATTTTAAATTTTTGTATTTATGTGTTTTATCTTGTGGCTGTTCACCGCCCTGAGTCCTTCGGGAGAAGGGCGGTATAGAAATGGAAAGCTTAAGGAAGACATAAACTCAGTCCCAGCTCCCTGCCCCCAAACAGATATTTGGTGCCCATTAAGAAGGTGCTGCTCAGAACTACCGGTTTACCTGAACCGGTCTAAACCGGCAGCAGCCCACTTCTGGGTACAACAATTCACTTAGCAACTGTGGCAAGAAAGGTCGTCAAAATGAAGCAACACTCACTTAACACATGTTTCACTTAACAACAGAAAATATGGGCTCAATGTTGGTCGTAAATCGAGGATGACCTATCTTGATGCCTAATTTCATATAGTGTAAAACAAATTTTATATCGTGTAAAACAAATCTGGAAAAAAAAAAAAACAACCCTGCAGGTTATAAGTCAATAAAACCACTGAAGGAAAGTTTAGAAAGTCCACACTTACTTTCTGATATTTTAAGTGGCCTCGTAATGAAGAGGCTGGTGGTTTCAATGAGCAGAGGCTGGGAATCTCGCTGGACCTGGCAATGGATCAGGGAGGAGTTCCTGCCTTTGGTGGCCAACACCTCCAGGTAGATCTTGATGGAAAAGGTCCCATCACGATTTGAAATTCTCGAGGAAACCGTTCCTGTTCTACTTGAGGCATTCTTGGCAAACAACTCCACTTTGGCATCATTTGGATAAAAGCTTTCTGCGTGGCAAGCGACCATCACTCTGGCGTTCAGCTGGATGGGGGAAGGTGGAATGGTTGCAAGACGCATTTTGGGAGGAACTGAGCAAAGAAAGCAAAAAATAATCAGTCAGAAGAGCTTCAGAGTCATGGGTCCTGCATGCAGAAGATGGTAGAAGACCAACTGATTCTTCTCTCCAATGGAGCCATTGAGGAAACCAGTAAGTTCTTGGAACACAACCTGAGTGCATAAAATCCTGAGCCTGGTGGCAGGAAACCCAAGATCGGAACTGAACTCTTTTAAAAAGGAAAGGAATAAGGAACCCCATCCAAAGTTCAGCAAATCTCTGCCCCCATTTATTTATGTCAGATGGGCTTATTTACTTACCTACTTACTTTATTTGATTTATATACCGCCCTACTCCCGAAGGACTCAGGGCGGTGAACAGCCAAACAGTAAAAATACATAGATACAAAATTTAAAAACAAAGTAAAATCGAATTAAACAATTTGGCCCAGACAAATTAAAACACCCCAATCTTTAAAAAACCGATTAAAATTTGCATAATTAAAAAGAGGGAAAAGATTTGGCCAGGCCCGCCTGGTGGAATAAAAAGGTCTTGAGAGCGCGGCGGAAGGTGCGCAGATCCGGGATCCTCCGTATCTCCGGGGGGAGCTCGTTCTAGATAGCGTCATGGCGCTCCCATGTGACACCTCTCCTGCGCGAGCTGCACTGGCTCCCGGTGGTCTTCTGGGTGCGCTTCAAGGTTTTGGTTACCACCTTTAAAGCGCTCCATGGCTTAGGACCTGGTTATTTACGGGAGCGCCTACTACCACCAATAGCCTCCCACCGACCAGTACGCTCTCATAGAGAGGGACTCCTCCGGGTGCCGTCAGCCAAACAGTGTCGGCTGGCGGCCCCTAGGGGGAGAGCCTTCTCTGTGGGGGCACCTACCGTCTGGAATGAGCTCCCCCCAGAGATACGGAGGATCCCGGATCTGCGCACCTTCCGCCGCGCTGTGAAGACCTTTTTATTCCATCAGGGGGCTTGGCCTAATCTCCTCCCTCTTTTAATATGTAAATTTTAATCTGTTTTTAAATTATTGGGGTGTTTTAATCTGTCCGGGCCAAAATGATTTAATTTGATTTTATCTGGTTTTTAAATTTTGTGTATTTATGTATTTTATTGCTTGGCTGTTCACCGCCCTGAGTCCTTCGGGAGTAGGGCGGTATACAAATCAAATAAACTAAACTAAACTAAACTAAACTAGATAGTAGGTGCCCCCACAGAGAAGGCTCTCCCCCTAGGGGTCGCCAGTCGACATTGTTTGGCTGACGGCACCCGGAGGAGCCCCTCTCTATGAGAGCGTACCGGCTGGTGGGAGGCTATTGGTGGTAGTAGGCGGTCCCGTCGATAGATTAGCTTGTTAGATTCCTATCCTGCCATTCCTATTGTTGGAAGAAATCTACATCTGGTTCAGTTCCAGGCCGGGAGAAAAGACACTGGAAACATGGAGGCTGATTGGAAAGATGGTTTAATGATGAAGCAGAAGCACATGGGTGCTTCTGGTGCAGCTGACCACAGGGAGTTGAGAATGGGGGGTATTTATACCTTCTCTTGCACTTTGCACTTGAGCTTCCTGTTCCTGTGCAACAACATGTGTTCTATTGGCTGTTGCAGCTAACTTTGTGGGTTGTCTGAGTCCCAGGTTTGGTTGAAGTTTGGATTGCTGATGCAATGTCCTTAGGAGATTGTGCAATGTGATGAGCTCTGAGGTTAAATGGTTTAATCCTATTATGTCCTGTGGGGGTCATGTCTTAATCTCATCACCCTGAAGCTGGAGGTCTTTTGTCTTGTAGATAGGCTGGCCCAGTCTTTCTTAAAGGGCACCAAATATCTGGTGGGGGGGGGCAGGTATCTGCTTTCTGTTTTTAAAACACATTTCTTCTTTTATCATCCAGGGAAATATAATATTCTGCCTTTTTAACATTTCTCAAAACATTTCATTCTTCTAGGAAAGGGGTGGGTGCTAACTTTCTACACTTTGGATGTCAGCTTCTCACCTGCCTTCTTTCGATGACATATATTTGGCCACCCAATTCAAATCATGTGACTCTGGGCAGCGTGCAAAATCATTGAGCAAAAAAATACAAAGGAAAAAAACAGAGCACATCACTAAAGCAACGTGAAACAATTCTTGGACAATCAGGATTATATATATATACTGTAATATATATGCAGGTGAAGACTCCATAACTTCCTCCCTCTCTGCAACCCAAGGTTCACCTACCTCTTAAGACATCACCAAGTCGGAATTTCTCCGAAAACTTCTGAGTTGAGTTGTGATGCATCTGGCAGCTCAGCTGTGACTTCACATCTCCTTGTCCAAGCAGGATTTCCATACTGCTTGTCACACGGTACGTCCCTTCCCCCTTAAATTCAGTAGGCGAGATTTTGGTCTGGTTAGACGGTATCCTTTCCCCATTCTTCATCCAATTGACATGGATATCTTTGGAAGATTCACTTGCAGAGCATTGAAAAGAGGCCCAAGATCCTGCCGTAATTCTGCCTTGGGGGCCATGAATCTGAGGCTGGGATGATTCGACTGAGGGAGAAAGTAGAGACACATCAATTGATGTTCCTCAGAAACAACACAGGAGCCTCCAAGAGTGTTTTTGGTCACAGAGACCCAGCTTCCAAACATAGGATTTACTCCCATGTGTCTCTCAGTTGACTGGGAATATCTCCCTCCCTCCATCCCTGGAAATCAATAGGGATGGGGTCTACCTACCAACCATGGAGACTGTTGTGGCTCCGTTACCTGAGCCTGTGTCATCGGCAGGAGAGGACTCCGAGAGTGAAGGAGAGGAGTTGGCAAGGCCTCCCTCTCCAGGACCCTCCTCTCTGGCAATGCCTTCAATGTCCGCCAAAGGGCAAGAGATAGGCCCGGGGCCAAGCACATCCACGCAGCCACAGGTGGACAGTGATGAGGGAGATGAGTCTTGGCTGGATCCTCGGCAGCGTCGCAGAGATAAGCGCGCGCAACAGAAGAAGAGGCGTGCCAGAGATTAGGCTGAGTCACTGGACCACACCCCACAGGGTATAAAAGGGGGTGAGGTGGCCATTCAGACTCTGTGATGGACAAAACTAACTACTATCGAGTCACATTGCATCTTTGGAAACAACACTATCTGCCTTGGATTTAATTACGGACTGGACTTGACAATTCTTGTTTATTTTTTCTTATTCTTGTTTATGAGTGAAGTTCTTGGCAAGCAGCTACTGGGTTGCTGCCAATCCTCTTATCGAAAGAATTTGTCGTCTGCCAGTTTATTTAACCCCCGGCTGTCTGTTTGTGTGCGTGTGTGAGACGGGGACAGGACAGAGACCACAGTGCTTTTCCTTGAAACCAGTTCTCTTTCTGAGACACTAGGTATGAACTTCACACAACAGTAGACATCTTCAAGGCAGATGGATGGATGTTGATGCTGAAGTTTGTGTTGGATCCTGGGATGACCTCACACACACACACCCTGGTTAATCATCTTAGTCACTCTTTTCTGAAATTTTTCCAAAGTCTCAACATCCTTTTTGTAGTATGGTGACCAGGGTGAAATGCTTCCGGTTCAGACCGGATCGCCCGATTCGGTAGCGATGGCGGCGGTTGGTTCAGAGAACTGGTAGCAAAAATCCCTGAACACCCCCTCCCCCCCCCCATGCCCAGCTGAGCCACACGATCATCAGAGGCTCTTTTTTTTTTACTTTTAAAAGCATTTTTTCTACAACCTCTTCCGCCGAAAAAATGCTTTTAAATGTAAAAAAAAAAAAGGCTCTGATGATCGCACGGCTCAGCTGGGATCGTCAGAGGCTTTTCAAGGCATTTTTTTCGGCAACCTTTTCGGCTGAAGAAGTGGTAAGGAAAATACTTTGAAAAGCCTCTCTGATGATCCCAGCTGAGTTGCCTGATCGTCAGAGAGATCATCACTCTGCTAAACAACTAATTCGCTCAACACTGTCAAACTATTTACTAAGTCTGCGCTACTATTAATCTTCTCATCGTTCCCATCACCAATCTCCTCCCACTTATGACTGCATGACTGTAAACCTGTTGCTGGTATCCTTAAGATTTATATTGACTGTTTCCTTATGACTTTCATTAAGTGTTGTACCTTACGATTCTTGACGAATGTATCTTTTCTTTTATGTACACCGAGAGCGTATACAAGCACCAAGACAAATTCCTTGTGTGTCCAATCTGACTTGGCCAATAAAGAATTTCATTCTATTCTATGGTTGTCCCAAAGGTGCTTTTTCAAGAGGCAACTGGACTTTCTGGTTTTTCCTTTGAAAAACACTCTGTACTGTACAAAGACACCGTACACTGACTCTAGAAAGAGTTTACCACTTTTCTTGAGAACTATTGGTCATGTCTCTTTGGATAATTCCTTACAGTGCGAAGGATTAACCAATGGATCAGCTTGTCTCCAGGACTTGTGGGGTCTCCATCACTGTAAGTTTCTAAGAAAAAATTGGACAACCATTTTTTGAGATGATATGAGGATTCTTGCCTTTGGCAGGGGGTTGGATTAGAAGACCTCCAAGGTCCCTTCCTTTCCAGATGTTGGAATCTACCAGAGGTTGAAGGTATCCATACCAGATCAAACCAGGTGGCCCCAGTTGATCTACAGAACTTCAGAGCTCTGATGATCTTCCTCAACTTGTTCACATAACTACTCGGGTGGGGAGCAATGGAAGAAACCTTCTCCTCCCCAAACCTAACATCTGGCACTGGTCTTTGCTGTGGAATCATCTCAATGTTCAGAGAAGGTTTGAAGCAACCTTAATATTCACCTTGCACTGGATTTTATTCCAGTAGCAGATCTGAGGATGAAATCTGTCTGATCTCAACTGCCAACACTCACCCAGATCTTGCAGAAGGAGGAGCAGCAGCAGCTGAAGTAGACCATAGATTATCTTGAAGGACCTCAAGGCAGCCATGCCGATAGCAGCAGAAGAGTCATCTGGGGTGACTTTGTGTCTTGCCCAACAGATCTTTCCTCCAGAGGGAGAAGCAAAAGAGGAACTCCCATTT